CCTAGAGGTGCTCGTACTGGCGGTACTAGAGCTGCTGGGACTGAAGGTGCTATTGGAGCTGCTGGAGGTGCTACTGGTACTAGGGCTGGTGGTGCTGCCTGGGCTGGAGCTGGAGGCGCTGACGCTCGTCCTCCTGCAGGTGCTGGAGCCGACGGTGAGGATGGAGCTGGTGCTACTGGAGGTACTGGAGTTGGCACTACTAGAGCTGCTGGTGGTGCTGTAGGAGTTGGAGCTGCTGCTGGGGGTTCTGGTGCTGTCTCTGCTGAATCTGAGGGCACTCCACGACCGCGGCCGTACTTCGTTCCGCTCCTTCAGCAGGTTCTTGGTCAGCCGCCTCCTCCTTGTCCTGCTCCCTCCTTAGAGTGTCCTCCGCCTGTCCAGTCGCAGTCACAGTTACAGCCTGCCTCGCCACTTCCTCGTCCTTCTCCCTACACTGGTTCAACAGGAGGTCTTACGGAGCGTCGTGAGCCTGAGTCTCGTCCTGTGTCGTCTGCGTCTCGTTCTGCGTCACCAGTTCATGCTGCTCGCACTAGTCGTCGTGTCCCACGTCAGCGTCCTCCTTCTGTCCCAGGCACTCACCAGATGACGCTTCGTCTTTCCACTGCTACGCAGCGTGTCCCTCTACCTTCTCCTCGTGCGTCCTCTCTTCCTGTCCTTGCGGACCCGGAGTCTGACTCTCTTCATGCTGCTAGTCCTACTGTCACGCGTCTACTGGCCACGGCTGTCACTGACCCTTCCTTTGAGTCTGCTGGTGCGTCTGCCTTAGTTGCTGAGCTTGTCGACATTGCTGCTCACTGTCGGCTAGACTACGCTGCCAGACTTGTTGCTGAGTCTGAGTATGTCTGTCCTCCGTCCGTCGGAGGTGAGTGTGCTCTTGGCACGGACGTTCTTGTGGACAGGCAGGAGGAGTTTGAGTGCTTTGCCACTGCTATACCTCATCTCGTGTCCATGCTGATTGCATCTGAGGGAGACCCGGATGCACCAGACATCGCGACCCCGCGCTCTTACGCTGAGGCAATCGCGGGTGAGTACTCCTCTTAGTGGCAGACATCCATGGACGTAGAGATGTCATCCTGGAAGTCCACAAACACTTACGTCGACGAGGTTCCCCCTCCTTGGGCGAACATCGTCAGTGGCATGTGGATTTTCAGGTTGAAGCGGCCGCCAGGTTCTCCGCCTGTCTTCAAGGCTCGTTACGTGGCTCGAGGCTTCAGTCAGCGAGAGGGAGTAGACTTCTTCCAGACCTTCTCCCCCACCCTGAAGATGACCACTCTTCGAGTGCTACTGCACGTTGCCGCTCAGCGTGACTACCAGCTTTACTCTCTTGACTTCAGCACAGCTTTCTAGCAGGGCAGCCTGCACGAGGAGATCTGGCTGCGCCGCCCTCCTGGCTTCACTAGGTCGTTCCCTCCTAGTACCCAGTGGAGCCTCCGGCGGCCGGTCTACGGTCTTCGCCAGGCACCACATGAGTGGCATGACACACTGAGGATTACACTTGCGGCTCTTGGGTTCGCGCCTTCTACTGCTGACCCGTCGCTGTTTCTGCGCACCGACACTTCACTGCCGCCGTTCTACATCCTCATGTACGTCGACGACTTGGTCTTTGCCACTGCTGACACAGAGGCTCTCGCCCTGGTGAAGTCGGAGTTGTAGAAGAGACACACGTGCACAGACCTGGGTGAGCTGCGCAGTTACCTTGGCTTGCAGATCACCCGGGACAGAGCACGCCGCACCATCACACTGACTCAGTCACACATAGTGCAGCAAGTCCTTCAGGGCTATGGCTTCACCTGGTCCTCGGCACAGGCCACTCCTCTGGCTACAAGTCACTCGCTCTCAGCTCCACCTTCGGACGAGTCCGTAGAGCCGAGTGGTCCTTACCCAGAGCTAGTTGGCTGCCTCATGTACCTGATGACTTGCACTCGTCCTGACCTCGCGTACCCTCTTGGCCTTCTGGCTCGCTACGTGGCTCCTGGTCGGCACCGAAAGGTGCACATGGATGCTGCTAAGAGGGTACTGCGCTACTTGTGCAGTACATCAGGCATGGGGCTCGTGCTTGGAGGGAGGAGCTCAGTTGTTCTTACTAGGCACTCAGACGCTTCTTGGGTTGACGACCAGGCTACGCAGCGGTCGTTATAGGGTTACACCTTCAGCCTTGGCTCTGGTTCAGTTTCTTGGCGCTCTACACGCTCGTCTTGAGTTCTCAGCTCCAGTTGTGAGGCTGAGATCTACGCCACAGCCATGGCTGCACAGGAGTTACGCTGGCTCACCTACCTGCTGACTGACTTGGGAGAGCGGCATCGTTTTCCTCCAGTGCTGTACGTCGACAACAAGGCTACCATTGCCTTGTGTGAGGAGCACAGAATGGAGCACAGAACGAAGCACATCGCTCTGCGTTACTTCCTTGCTCGAGAGCTGCAGCAGCGTGGTCAGCTTCGTCTGCATTACGTGGCCACTCGGGCCAACACTGCTGATATATTCACCAAGGCACTTCAGTCTGGTGATCTTCAGCGTTTCTGCACTATGCTAGGGCTTGTGCCCACTTTTCCTCACTTGCTATAGGCTTAGCTTGTACTAAGATCTATATATATACCTGCATGCTTGCTTTTCTAGGTAGAGATCACTGTGCTGTTTGTGTTGCATATATGCCTCTGCATGTGAACTGGCCTTGTGGCCCTTTGCGTGTGCTCAGAGTGTGTGGTGACGTTGTGATCCACACTGAGCTTGCTTTGCCTCTCTTGACTGGTCTTGTGACCCCTTGCTCTCCCCCACTTTGCCTATGGGGGTGTGTCAAATGTTACATCTGCTACAGTTTGTTTAGGCTGTAGTGGGGTAGTTACTATGGGGTACACTTTCCCTACTTGTACCCAACTCTTTCCTAGTTCAATAACTCTTGTTCATTCTGATAGTCAGAAGCAAAGTAAAGTGTATCGAAGCACCGGCGAGTTAACCCTCGGAGGTTGAGCAATTTCTAGAGGTTACGCGAAAGTCAAAGGTCAGCGACCTTTGACCTGACATGTACAGCGCGACTGCAAGGACAGACAACTGACTCGCTACAGAGCAGTTGCCCGAGTCGTCACTGTATCGAACCGCAACAGCAACAGTAAAGCAGTAGCGACCAGGGCTAATTTTATCAGGGTAAATCACCCTGATACCCTGATAATCAGGGTGGTTTTTGGCTGTCACACTGATGCCTTATGGTAATTTTTTCGGGAGCTTGTATTTTCCTGATAGGCCAGGGTTTACGTTTGAGGTACACTGACGGCCCAGGGTTACCGATCTTCGTAACGAGTTTTACCCTGAATCGAGTACATACCCTCCCCGAGCCGCCCCACCCCCCGCCCCCTCTCTACCCACCCCCCCTTTCCCATATCGAGGTTCTCGCATGCCAACTGTCGAAACTGAAATTTGGCAAAGGCGACATCTCTGAGCTGGCACGAGGGGGGCCTCCATTGGCCAGAAATACATTTTCGTTATTGCCTGCCAACGATAATATCAATACACCAGGGTTTGCAAAACTGGTACACTGATCCTACAGGGTATAATTTTAAAAAACTAGGAAAACCCTGGTGGATCAGGGTTTGAACAAGGTGTCACACTGATAATCAGGTTTTTGGACTTGTGCAACACTGATCACAAGGGTTGCTGGAAACCAAAAATTAGCCCTGGTTGCGACCGTATCTCTTCGTATTCCTTGTACTTTTATATAATCTTGTATCTCTTTGCCTTAATCAATTCACTTTGCCCTCACATACTAGCTCAAGGTGGTTCAACTACTCCATTAAAACACTTCCGCTAATTACAACAAGTCCTACCCAGAGTTCAGCCCTGCAAAGATCCTAAGGGCTTTTCTCAGCCCATTAGTACTCACTATAGAGTACCCCACTGAAGACTATAACATTATGACAGCACTGCATCGAGTGCAGCAGAATCAACCACAGCAGCAAAATTAACTGCAGCAGCGGCATCGCCACTGCCTCAGCCATCATTTGCTTCCGCCCTGACCCCTCCTGCCCCAGCCCCACCTCCTCCCAAGCCTGCTTATCGCCTTTCCACGCCCACGGCTGCTGTTTTCAGCCTCGTTGCTGCTGCTGCCCTCTCTCTCCTTGCATTTTCCGTGTAAGAGAAGCTTCTGCGCATGCTCTTTATCTCTCTTTATGTTTTAGCTTTGAGTGGCCTGGTGGTGGATACGGTACGAGCATTACAACATCCAGGCATCAACTACCGTCATCACCCGGATATAAGACAGTGTTGAATAGTAGACAGGGGTTGTCTATTATACGGGTGTCTCTTATAAACGGGGTAGCCTCATTATAAGACACCTATTTGTGTGTAGGGGCAAATGGCAAATGTATAACGAGGAAGTATCTTCTAAACGGATTTTTGTCCATTCATAAGACTGGTTTTTTTAATGTATGAGATGAGACATACATGTCTTATATCCGGGCGATTACGGTAGATTAGCCATTTAGAAATAGTGCAAGCAAACTACGATCTATCGCATAAATTCACCCACATTCTTCTTGTTCCCTACCAATTTATTTTCAGTTTCCGACACACCCACGATTGTACTACATTGATGTACGACACAAGCATGATAACTGGAATTCACCCATCACTTGAGTGTTGTTGCATATCACAGCCCTTGCACCATATGGTTGTGCAATGGGCTCCTCGGATTGTTTTGATTGTTTAAGAGACATTGCATTAACTTTATAACTGATCATTTCGCAATAAGATCATCAAAGCTGAACATACTGGTACCCTATCACCGTACCATATCTAGGACTATCTCTAACCAATGCAACATCATCCCCCACAGCCACACACCAGCCTCCATCCTTGAACAAGGGGACAGATTAGAACAAACAAGAGGCAATGCAGCAAGGTGGCGTGCACCCATCCCCTTCCATCATCCACCGAATCCAGCCAGCATCCCAAACACCCTGAGGCAGGGTGCAAAAAGTGGTGCTCCTCCGTTTCGTCCCACTCTCCTTGCCTCACCCCACGTCACGCCACACTAGCTGCATTTCCCCCTGGTGCTGGCCCCTCCCCTCCACAATACCCCTCGCCTCCCCCTCCCTCCACCCATCACGCTCACCACCATCTGCCACACCTGCTCTTCCCCGCGCTGCTCCCCCCGCTGCCCCCGAAGGCGCGGATCATGGCGGGGTGGTTGCACACGTGCACCATGCTCAGCCTCTCCTCCACGCGCACTCTCAGCATGCCGCTCACCAGCGCGCGACATTCCTCAGACACGCCCTCCCACGCAGCCCCCTCCACTGGCGCCCGCCACTCGGCCTGCTGAGGCGCCTCCCCTGAGTACGGTCGCTCGCCCGCAATCATCTCGTACAGCGTCACCCCCCAGCGACCACACGTCAGCTGCGCGCCCATACCCCGCTGCCTCTGCGCTTCCTGCCGCTGCTCTCCCCGCTGCTTTTCTGGCATGCTTGGCGGCGCCCGGGGCGGGCGGGCAGCGAGGGCGGCAGAGAGCCTCCACCTCAGGCGCCACGTACCCGGGCGTGCCTGCGGGAATGGTGCACCCGCGCTGCCCTTCCGCCACCACCTGCGCCAACCCAAAGTCCGCCAGCCGCACTGCCCCCGCGGCCAGGCGGGGGGAGATGCGCGCTGAGGCGACGGGCGCGGACAGGCCGAGGGCAGCAGGAGAGCCGCGCGCAGGCGCAGCGGCAGGAGCAGCGGCGGCGGAGAAAGGTGTGGGCGCGGCGAAGAGGATGTTATCGGGCTTGATGTCGCAGTGCATCACGCCTCGCTCGTGGCAGAACGCCACGGCGTCGCCCACGTGCTTCACCACTTCCAGCGCCTCCGCCTCCGCCATTCCCCCTCCCCGCCCGCCTTCCCCGCTCGCCTTCCCCCACCACCGCCTCCCCTTGCCTCTCCCCGCGTCCCCCGTGTTGCTGCTTGCGGCAGCCTTGAGTCGCTGCAGCAGGGCGCGGAGGTCGCCGCCGTAGCACACATCGGAGAGCAAGTATGCGTGCTGGTCGCCCAGCACGCCCGGGCACTCGCTCAGCGACGCCGACACCATCGCCTCGTTCGACGCCGCCACCAGCTACTTGCGCTCCACGCGCTTCACCGCCACCACCTCGCCGCTCTCCACTCGCCGCATCGCCACGACTGTGCCGAACCCGCCGCGCCCCAACTCGCCGGCTGCCTCGAACAGGTCGGGGTCGAGCACGCCGTTGTACGCGCTCAGCACGAGCGGCCGAGGGCACGCGCACGGGGCAACGGGCTTAGCAGCGGTGCGGGGAGCGAGAGGCGCTTGGACTGCAGCCGGCACCGGTTTCGCGGATTTAGCGACAGCAGCGGCAGAGTCGCCGGAGCTGGAAAGCGTCGAAGCGACGGACGACGACGCGGCGATGTCAACGTTGACCGGCGTGGGTCCCGTCGAAGAGGTCGACGCCTCGGACGGCGAGTACCAGGATGCCGTGACGAGACCTGCCAGCACAAACGCGGAGGAGAAACGGTTGGCACTCGCGTGCTAACCTAACTCTCTCTCGCGTCTACCTGAAAAGACAGAGGGGTTTTCTGGTAAGAGGGATAAGGCTCGCGTTATTTCAGGTAGAGAATGTCAATTAGAAAAGGGCGGTTGAGAAAAGATCGGTTGCTTACAGGCCTCTTGATATTAGGGTAAATCACCCTTATGGCCCTTACTATAAGGGTGGGTTTAGGTGTTCACTCTGATTTTACAGAGTTGTATTTTAGGGCGCCCTTACAATAAAAAGTGAATTTTTGTGTAACACTGATATTTCAGACCGACCTGGTGTACTCGCCCTGATGACAACGAGTAGTGTTGGGTACCACCCTGATGCGATTTTTTATGGGGGAGGGGGGGTGGGGGGGGGGGGGGGGGGGGGGGGGGGGGGGGGAGGGGGGGGTGGGTTGATTCACCGACGTGATTTCTGCCGCGATTAGCGGCGATTTGGCCGAGTCACCAGAATTGCGCGTCGCCAAGACCGCTCGCGTCGCCACAGCCACAGTTCCGCAACCTGTACCCGTACCACATGCATTTTGCCTGCCTGGCGGTGACACACAACGCCACACAGGTGTGCATCGTCCAGGAGAGTCCTGCTTGGTCCCTTCCTCCCTCCCCACCAGACCCCCACCCACCGACCATCCGCTCTCACCCAACCCCAACCCAGTCAGTTCATTTTATTCATCCAGTTTTCCTCCTCGTGATCTTGTCTAGGGTTTGCAGACCACGCCTTCCTCCTGCTATTATAAGCATAGCTCCAGCATCTATCTCCAAGTCCCTCGTCATGGCTGTTGTCACCAGCGGTGAGGATGACGACGAGGCTCGTCGTCAGGTCCTGCACTCACCCTCATGAAAGGGCCTTCGCTTTTTAACAGTGCCTTCTAAGCGACTGCTTGAACCAGAGCCCGTCGTTGCCTCTACTGAGGCTGAGACCACGCTGGCTGAAGCGGGGCGTGACGTGCACCACGACGCCTGAACTGACACCACGAAAAGCACAACACATGTAATGGAGAATACCGCTGCTGCTCACAACTGTGCTGCCAAGAAGCTGAAATCTGGTTCGTGTGCGGCACGACAGAAGTGGCGGCAGCAACCTAAGTCGAGTTTCACTCGCGGGGCTCATGCATACGGTAGCAATGTTCAATGCTGGCAAGAAGCACCGCCCTGCTCAAGAGTTCCTATACCGTATTAACTTGTGCTCACTGCTAAGCTTATTCTATTAGAACCAAGCACTGGTGCTTTAGTTGCTCTGTTAGTTAGTGCCATCTTTAATATGTAATCCACGCTTAAGTCTAAACATGAAAGGGTGAAAACAATGTGCACACTGATGAGCAAGAGTACCTTTCCAGCTGACACTGATAAAAAAGACTGACATGGCTGACCCACCCTGTCAAGAATGAGAAGTGTTGAACTATGAAAAGTTGGAGTACAAGTAGTAAACCCTAGCTTTGTGTACCCCTTAAAGGCTAACCCACCATAGCCTACACAACAATAACACATATAGTGTTTGACACACCCCCATAGGCAAAGTGGGGGAGAGCAAGGGGTCACAAGACCAGTCAAGAGAGGCAAGCAAGCTCAGGGTGGATCACAACGTCACCACACATTCCGAGCACAAGCAAAGGGCCACATGGCCAGTTCACATGCAGAAGTATATATGCAACACAAACAACAAGGGTGATCTCAACCTAGTAGAGCAGACAGGCAGGAGTATATATATAGAGATCACAGTACAGGTAAAGCCTGCAACAAGTGAGGAAAAGTGGGCACCAGCCCCAGCAAAGTGCAGAAGCGCTGATGATCACCAGGCTGAAGTGCCTTGGTGAATATATCAGCGGTATTGGCCTGAGAGGCCACGTAACGCAGACGAAGCTGACCGCGCTGCTGCAGCTCTCGAGCAAGAAAGTAACGGAGAGCGATGTGCTTCGTTCTGTGCTCTAGTCTGTGCTCCTCACACAAGGCAATGGCAGCCTTGTTGTCGATGTACATCACAGGAGGAGAACTAGGCCGCTCTCCCAGGTCGGTCAGCAGGTAGGTGAGCCAGCGTAACTCTTGTGCAGCCATGGCTGTGGCGTAGATCTCAGCCTCACAACTGGAGCTGAGAACTGAAGACGAACGCGTAGAGCGCCACGAAACTGAGCCAAGAGCCAAGGCTGAAGGTGTAACCCTGTGACGACCGCTGAGTAGCCTGGTCGTCAACCCAAGAAGCGTCTGAGTGCCCAGTGAGAACAACTGAGCTCCCTCCTCCAATCACGAGCCCCATGCCCGATGTACTGCACAAGTAGCGCAAGACCCTCTTTGCAGCATCGCAGTGCACGTTTCGGTGCCTGCCAGGAGCCACGTAGCGGGCCAGAAGGCCAAGAGGGTATGCTAGGTCAGGACGAGTGCAAGTCATCAGGTACATGAGGCAACCAACTAGCTCTGGGTAAGGACCACTCGACTCTACGGACTAATCCGAAGGTAGAGCTGAGAGCGAGTGACCTACAGCCAGAGGAGTGGCCTGTGCTGAGGACCAGGTGAAGCCGAAGCGCTGAAGGACCTGCTGCACCATCTGTGACTAAGTCAGGGTAACGGTGCGGCGTGCTCTGTCCCGGGTGATCTGCAAGCCAAGGTAGCTCCGCAGTTCACCCAGGTCTGTGCACGTGTGTCTCTTCTGCAGCTCCGACTTCACGTGGGCGAGAGCCTCAGTGTCAGCAGTGGCAAAGGTCAAGTCTTCGACATACACGAGGATGTAGAGCGGCGGAAGCGAAGTGTCGGTGCGTAGAAACAGCGACGGGTCAGCAGTGTGAGAGTACGACGACTCATGCTATTTCTAGCATAGGATAATCATATGCATGCATGAATTGCTTGATTTCCTAGGCTAGGTGCTTTCCTATATTTTATTATAGTTATAGCACCGAGCTAGGTTGCGTGCACCGAATTCTGGCTTTTCGGTTGCCACCGAATTGCCTTCTACCGAATTCGGTAAGGATCCGTTCGGGACGCTACACGGCCCGCGGAACCTTCGCGTAACACCTGGTTACGGGGCCTTGTGTCGAGCCTATATATAGCCTCGTGTTGTACCCAGGTGATCATTCAATTCGACTCAATTCTCATTCTCTTTTCTGAACTCGATCCTAGATCCTCACACTTGGTAATCAGAGCGGGTTTACACGCGAGGTCTTCAACCGCTTAGTTCCGGCCTTTAAAAACCGCGGGGGCGACGACGAAAGCGCCGATACGGGTATGTAAAACCAGTTCCGCGCAATTTTTCTAAGTCCTCCTCGATTCGGTTTTCGAACACCCCTCAGATTGACTGGTGGAAAGGTTGGAGTTTCGACCGTTCGATCGAGTTTCATCTCAACGGCCCAGAGAATTTCGCCCAAAAAAGTTGGAATTTGGAGCGTCGGATCGATTTTCTCCTCAACGGCCAAGATCGGACGCGAATTTCGCCTAAGGGAGATTTACGCAACCTACAGAATTCGCGCTCGTCGATTCTACAAACAATTTGACTCGCAGTAAGTCGACCAGCACCTAGAATTCGATTATTTTCGTCGCGCATCTTCCTGTAAATCACCAAATGGAGGGCCAAGACGACAACTACGCGACTACGAGCGACATCGCGAGCCTCCGCACCGACATGGAGCAGACGCAGGCGACGCTTCGTCGACTCGAGGCTTTTCTGACAAGCCAACCAGGGTTCGCCACCGCAGCAGCAGCGACCACAGCAACTACAGCACCGACAACTCCAGCAGTAGTGGCGACACCGACATTTCACGGACCAATGGCACCACTTGTCAGAATCCCAACCACTAGACCATTGGGATAAAAGGGCTTGTTTCAGTAGCGGGTCAGTGCGCCCATAACCCCCCAGGAAAACGCGCGTGTAACACCCCCTAGGATCGATCGGGGATCTCACAGTGTAGCTCTACTGACACCCCCCAACACTGGGAGGCCCAGGACTGAGCACAATGGCAACGACCAACATGTGCATACACCGGGATTCGAACCCGAGACCTTCGCTCTGATAACATGTCAGAATCCCAACCACTAGACCATTGGGATAAAAGGGCTTGTTTCAGTAGCGGGTCAGTGCGCCCATAACCCCCCAGGCAAACGCGCCTGTAACCCCCCCTAGGATCGATCGGGGATCTCACAGTGTAGCTCTACTGACACCACTGTCGCCGAACCTCGAAGCAGCACGACCGAGGCTCACGGAGGCGTTCGATCCAAGCGCGAAGGGATCCGACGTCCGGCGATTCGTGGCCACCCTCGAAATTTACTTCGAGGCCATTGGCTGTTCGACCCCGCAACACGACGCAGCAAGGATTCGGCTCGCAGCGACACTGTTACGTGGACCGGCTCTCGAATGGATTTACTACACCGACGTAGCCCGCGGGGAGAAAACGTGGCAGCAGTTTCGGGCAGATTTAATCGAGCGTTTCGAACCAATTAATACAACCTACATGGCGCGGCAGCAGATACACCGACACAAGCAATACAGTAGTGTAACACAGTACACGCAGCAGATGGAGTTACTGTTCAACCGCATCACCGACCTCACCGAAGGCGAAAAAATCCAGGCGTACTCCGAAGGATTAAAAATGGAGATTCGGCGGCAGGTGATTGCGGCGAATTACAACAGCTACAGAGACATCGTGCTGTGGAAAATAGAACGAGAATGAATGAACTATGAGTGAAGTGAGTACAAATAGCAAAACCCTAATTGGGTTGTACCCCCTATGGTATACCCCACTGTAGCCTACACAACAGCATAAGCTACATATATGTTCTGATACACCCCCATAGGCAAAGTGGGGGAGAACAAGGGGTCACAAGACCAGTCAAGCAAAGCAAAGCAAAGCTCAGGGTGGATCACAAAGTCACCACACAGTCCGAGCACAAGAGCAAGGCCACAAGGCCAGTTCACATGCACGAGTACACACATATATATATAAAGCTAGACAAGCAAGAGCAGGTATATATATGTGACAGTACAAGTAAAGTGAAGAGGAGAGCAAGTGAGGCAAGACAGGCACAAGACCCAGCTGGGTGCAGAAGCGCTGATGGTCACAAGGCGCGAGTGCCTTGGTGAACACATCAGCAGTGTTGGCCTCAGAGGCCACGTACGCAAGCCGCAACTGTCCACGCTGCTGTAGCTCATGAGCAAGGAAGTAGCGAAGAGCAATGTGCTTCGTTCTGTGCTCCAGACGCTGCTCTCGACACAAGGCCAGCATGGCCTTGTTGTCTACGTACAGCACTGGAGGAGAACGAGGCGGCTCTCCAAGGTCAGTCAGCAGGTAGGTGAGCCAGCGAAGCTCCTGTGCAGCCATGGCCCCTGCGTAGATCTCAGCCTCACAACTCGAGCTGAGAACCGAAGACGAGCGAGTAGCCCGCCACGAGACAGAGCCGGAGCCAAGGCTGAAGGTGTAACCCTGTGACGACCGCTGCGTAGCCTGGTCGTCAGCCCAAGAAGCGTCCGCGTGACCTGTAAGTACCACTGGACTCCGCCCTCCAAGCACTAGCCCCATGCCCGACGTACTGCACATGTAGCGCAATACCCTCTTCGCTGCAGCCATGTGCTCTGGTCGGTGTCTCCCAGGAGCAACATAGCGTGCAAGAATGCTAAGAGGGTATGCAAGGTCAGGTCGTGTGCAGGTCATCAGGTACATGAGGCAGCCAACAAGCTCTGGGTACGGGCCACTCGACTCTACGGACTCATCCGAAGGCAGAGCTGAGAGCGAGTGGCGAGTAGACAGAGGAGTGGCCTGAGGCGAGGAGTACGTGAAGCCGAAGCGCTGAAGGAC